ACTCACACACACACACTCACTCACTCTCTCACACACACTCAAACATTAAAAAGCACATTAAGAAATGTTTCTTAAGCAGCAATTCAGCATATTAGAAAGATTTCTAAGAGTCATGTAAAATGGAAAACAGTTATTTCTTTTAAACTGTAGTAATATTTCTTATTTCTTATTATTACTGTGTTTTTGTTAGAGTAGTTCACTTCCTAAATATTCCTAAAAATTTCCTGATAATTTACTCGGCCCCATGTCATCCGAGATGTTCATTTCTTTCTGTCTTCAATTGCAAAGTAATGAAGGTTTTTGAGGAAACCATTCCAGGATTTTTCTCCATATAATGGACTTCAATGGGGAGCAACGGGTTGAAGGTTCAAATTGCAGTTTCAGTGCAGCTTCAAAGAGCTCTACAGGATCCCAGTGATAATTTAGCCAACTTAATGTGCTTTATAACTCAGTTTCTGGATATGAAATTAAAGAGCAGCTGAGATATCTACAAAAGAGCTGCTGTTGACTATGCTGTATATGACAGACAAATGTGAACCAATGGACTTCCTCGATTAAGAATGATAGCACGCACATTCTCATTAAAAATTCAAACTGGATTTAGTTATAAATAGAAAATGCATGAAACAAAAAGCAGTTCACCGTGTAATAATTCACATAATTCATGTACTCACTCTCACTGATGTCCTTTATTTCTGCGTAACACAGCGTCGGACCCACTGACTTTAATTTTTGGGTGAATTAACCATTTTAAAAATATCTCCAGATATCTACGGAAGTTTTAGAAGCGAAGCATGGGTGGTCGTTTGAAATGATTTTGGCTCTAGGGTAGGTTTAGTGGTTATAGACTCACATATATTATATATATATATATATATATATATATATATATATGTTATACTGATTGATTGTTTGTTCAGAGTTACAGCAGATCATATGAGTTATATGCAAAGAGAATATAAACTAGAGGAATATGCGCATCTATTTTTGTCTATAGTAGCTACCGTTCAAAAATATGGCGTCAGTCAGATTTTTGAAGAAATGCTTTTATTGATCAAGGACATATTAAACTGACAATAAAGGCATTTATAATGTGACAAAAGATTTCTATTTCACATAAACGCTGTTCTTTTGAACTTTCTATTCATCTGTGAATCCTGAAAAATAAAATGTATCACAGTTTCCACAAAAATATTGTGCGGCACAACTGTTTTCAACATTGATAATAATCAGAAATGTTTGTTGAGCAGCAAATCAGCATATTAGAATGATTTCTGAAGATCATGTGACACTGAAGACTGGAGTAATGATGCTGAAAATACAGCTGCGCATCACAGAAATATATTACAGTTTAACAGATATTCACATAGAATTTATAATATTTGCTTATGTTAGTCCACCAAGATCCAGTCAAAATGTAGCAAACCTTTGTCCACTGTTGTGGTCTGCTCTCCATGTCTGTGCTACTCAGCGCTCAGCATTATCATCATTTCATTCTTTTTCTGACATTGCTGTGTTTTTACCCTCGATAGGAGTGTCCAGGTTAATGGATCTTCTTGCTGACTCCAGAGAAGTTATCCGTAATGACGTAAGTGTTCCTGCTCTACATTAACATGAGTGTTCATACAGGCAGGCTCTTCTGAAATCAAACCATTTGACTTTTTTCCCCTTTAAGGGTCTCCTGCTGCTGCAGCAGCTAACCAAAGGCAACACTGCGATTCAGAAGATCGTGGCTTTTGAAAATGCATTTGAGAGACTTCTTGAGATCATCACAGAGGAGGGTTCGAGCGATGGAGGTATGTGGTTAACCAACACGTTTCATTTTTAAAAACCGAACAGGACGCCCCTGAACCGTACATCTTGACCTCACAGGTATCGTGGTGGAGGACTGTCTCTTATTGCTGCTCAACCTCCTGAAGAACAATAGCTCCAACCAGAATTTTTTTAAAGAAGGCTCCTATATCCAGAAGATGAAGCCGTGGTTTGAGGTGGGAGATGACAACTCCGGCTGGTCGGCACAGAAGGTCACCAACCTCCATCTGATGCTGCAGGTCCGATATGAGGAGTCTGTTTGATATGTTGCGCATAGCGTTACATTGCTTACTGTAAGCATTTATAAAGATTACACATAGTTCTAGTTATTACAGTAATAATAACTAGATAAAAAAGTTAACCAAGACAAACTTTAGGTTGGCGTGAGAAAGCCTAGCCTGGAAGTTTAAAGCAGTTGTAAAAGCCTGAAGTTTGAAAATTTAGATAGATTAGATAGATGTTGATAACATGTTTCTAGCATGATTAGCAAGTAACTAGCATGTTGCTAGCATGATTAGCATGTTGCTTGCATGATTAGCATGCTACTACCATGTTGCTAGCATGATTAACAAGTATAACTAGCATGTTGCTAGCATGATTAGCAAGTAACTAGCATGTTGTTAGCATGACTAACAAGTGACTAGCATGACGCTAGCATGATTAGCAAGTTACTAGCATGTTTCTAGCATGATTAGCATGCTACTAGCATGTTTCTAGCATGATTAGCAAGCGACTAGCATGTCGCTTGAATTTTTCTAGCATGATTAGCATGTTACTAGCATGTTTGCTAGCATGATTAGCAAGTAACTAGCATTTTGTTTGCATGATTAGCAAGTTATTAACATGTCACTAGCATGTTTCCAGCATTATTAGCATGTTGCTAGCATGATTAGCATGCTACTTAGCATGATTAGCAAGTTACTAGCATGTCGCTTGGATTTTTCTAGCATGATTAGCATGTTACTAGCATGTTGCTAGCATGATTAGGAAGTAACTAACATGTTGCTAGCATGATTAGCAAGTTATTAGCATGCTACTTAGCATGATTAGCATGTTGCTAGCATGATTAGCATGCTACTAGCATGTTGTTAGTATGTTTCTAGCATGATTGGCATGTCGCTAGGATAGATAGATTAGAAATATTATATGTTTTTTGACAGTTGGAGTTTGAATAGTCTTGGCTCATCTGAACATTTGTTTCGTCAGTGCAAGTCTATGGGATTTTTATGATTTTTAATCTTCAGTTTTATGAAAACTATAAGTCGGATCAGTCTGAAAAGATAAAGCACACTAAGTGAGATCAGTCTGAAGAGCTGGGCTGAGTTTGGTGGTTCTAGCTTGAAAGCTCTAGGAGGAGTAGCGTTCAGAAATTTTAGTCTCATAAGAATAATAAGAAGAAGAAGCTTAAGTAGCAGATCTGTAGGTTGGCTTTCTCAAGCTAACCTAATGATACAAATATTATTATTTTTTACTGCACTGTTATTCTTCTAGTTATTTACCCATTGTGGCTTTTATATTCTGTCATATTAAACACAGCTTATTTCCAGGTTGGATAGAAGCAGCTCAGTGGGTGAGTGTTGTTTAGCTGCGTGTGGATGAGTAGCTGTGCTTTGTCTCTGTAGCTGGTGCGAGTGATGGTTTCTCCGGTGAACTCTCCGGGGGCCACAGCCAGCTGTCAGAAGGCCATGTTCCAGTGTGGTCTCCTCCAGCAGCTCTGCACCATCCTCATGGCCACAGGTGTTCCTGCAGACATCCTCACAGAGGTCAGATTGCTGTCAGAACCGTGTTCACACTCTCTGTCTGGTGACCCACATGCTTCACCTTCAGCGGAGTTAGTGCTTCAGAATACACTTCGCATCCATTGATACAGTTGAGGTCAAAAGTTCACATACAGCTTGCAGAATCTGCAAAATGTTCATTATTTTAGCAAAATACGAGGGATCATGCAAAATGCATGTTATTGTTTATTTAGTCCTGACCTGAATAAGATATTTCACATGAAAGACGTTCACATATAGTCCATGAGAGACAATAATAGTTGAATTTATAAAAATTACCTGTTTAAAAGTTTACATGCGCTTGATTTTTAATACTGATGATTTTTAGTTTAGTGATAGTTGTTCACGAGTCTCTTGTTTGTCCTGAACAGTTAAACTGCCCGCTGTTCTTCAGAAAAATCCTTCAGCTCCCACAAACTCTTTGGTTTTCCAGCATCTTTTGTGAATTTGATCCCTTTCCAACCATGACTGTATGATTTTGAGATCCATCTTTTCACACTGAGGGACTCAAACACAACTATAATGTAATAGAAAATCATACAGTCATTGTTGGAAAGGGTTCAAATACACAAAAGATGCTGGAAAAGCAAAGAATTTGTGGGAGCTGGGGGATTTTTCTGAAGAACAGCAGACAGTTTAACTGTTCAGGACAAACAAGAGACTCGTGAACAACTATCACTAAACTAAAAAACACAGCTGTGGATCATTCAGGTAACAACACGGTATTAAGAATCAAGGGGATGAAAACTTTTGAATGGGGTCATTTTTATAAATGCAACTATTACTTTCTCTTGTGGACTATATGTGAACGTCTTTTATTTAAAATATCTTATTCAGGTCAGGACTAAATAATAAATAACATGCATTTTGTATGATAAATAATTCACATTTTGCAGATTCTGCAAGCTGTATGTAACCTTTTGAGTTGTTTCAGTTGATACAACTGTATCAAGTGTGCTGCAAAAAGTGAAGCCAAACCGTTGCCATCTGGTGGCCGGCTGCAGTACAGGTCATAAACCCACCATGAGCCAAACTAACATTCTATTACATTATAAATAATAAACATAATAAATACATTCTTCCCACTGCGCAGACTCACTCTCTGTGATCATTTCAGTATTAAATACCGCACCAGGGATGAAGTGTTTTAACTGTTTCCTCTTTGTCCTTCTTGTGTAGACCATCAATACAGTGTCAGAAGTCATCCGTGGCTCTGAAGTGAATCAGGACTACTTTGCATCTGTAAACGCACCATCCAATCCACCAAGGTCTGCTTTGTCTTTAGCACTGGTTATTGAAACGGTAACCAAAAAAGGAAGAGTTGGTAATATGAAGTCATTGGCTGTTTCCTCCAGGCCTGCGATTGTAGTTCTTCTCATGTCGATGGTGAACGAGAGACAGCCATTCGTTCTGCGCTGTGCTGTACTGTACTGCTTCCAGTGCTTCCTGTACAAGAACCATAAAGGACAGGGTGAGATCGTAGCCACACTGCTGCCCTCCACTATAGATGGTAAGGGTTGCCCTGACTAGTTCTACCCCAAAAATTTAAATGTGCTGTTAATTTACTCATCTTCAGGGGTAGGTGACTTTTTTTTTTCTTCAGTAGAACAGTAGAGAAGATTTTTAGCTGAAACTGTGCTCCTTGGTGATTCATAAAATGCAAGTCAGCTGCTTGAGAATGTCTTTGAGAATAACAAAAAAAACATCAAGGAGTGCAAAATTAATAGCCGTGGCTCCTGATGATATACTGAGGTCTTATGAAGCGAAACGATCAGTCTGTGCAAGAAACTGAACATCATTTACAACATTATTACCTGTGATCCAGAGCCTCAGGCAAACGGGGAAATCTTCATTCAGACAGTTTGATTCAATGAACTGCTTCAGTTCAACTGTTCGTTTAACGTAATCATGCAATGATGTCACATATAAGCAATTATATTGTTAAAGCACCCAATAATGTGGATGTTTAAGATGTCTAAAGCATATAAACTGAATGAACTAGTCGTGATCAGCTCACCTTTTTATGTAAACAATGAGAAACTATAAAACCCCTTCATTCAAGTGTTGGGTTCACTTATGCTCATATCAGCGGCTCTTCGGTCTTCGGTCCGAGTCGAACTGTTTGCTCAGTTCAGCTGGAGCGCTGAATCAGTTCATTCATCACAGGATCAGATACGCTGATATTTCGGCTCGTTTCCAGTCGCAGTGACTGTCAGGCGTCTGAAAGTGAGTTTTGATTGAGTAACTTGTAGATCTGTGCAAATTGATTCAGATGATTCAATCCGATTTGGTGAACTGATTCAACTAATTCACTAAAAAGAACCGGTTCAAAAGAATGATTCGTTCAAGAACTGGACTTCACTCCAGACCACATAAAATGAGTTAACTTCACTTATTTTTTTTGGATGGGTTGCATGTTTGTTTTCACTATTCAAAATGATTTTTGCATTTATTTTTCATCTGTTATTTGAGTGCATGTCCTGTCTGTCTGTCCCTCAGCTAGCTCTATGTCGGCGGGGCAGCTGTTGTGTGGAGGTCTGTTCTCAGCGGATTCTCTGTCAAACTGGTGTGCCGCTGTGGCTCTGGCTCACGCGCTGCAGGATAACCTCACACAGAAAGAACAGCTGCTGCGTGTACAACTAGCCACCAGTCTGGGCAAGCCTCCCGTCTCCCTCCTCCAGCAGAGCACTAACATCCTATCCCAGGTACCTCTCAACATGTTAATGTTGTATGCATGTATATGCATGTGTGTGTTAGGATGCATTTGGGCTTCAAGGCTCTGGGCTGATGGGCTTTAGTCAAGGGTAATTGTTTGCCTCAGTAATTCTATCAGATCTGCTCGTTTTGGACGCTCAGTGTTGAAAAGACCAGACTTTTGGTTGCTGGTCTGCTGCATGAGGTGCTGGCGTTCTCATTCGTTCTCAGCAGTGTGACATCTTTTTCACCGACGACAACGAGACTATAACAAACTAAAACTCTTTTTGAATGACAAAAACTATGAGATAAATCTATTGACATTTTCGTCAACAAATAAAAACGAGACGAAAATGTTAGGGAGGGACGATTTGGGAAGAGATTAATTCAGAACGAATCTGCTGCGTGGTTCGGAGGTTAGATGCGTACATATGAACCGGCGGGACATAAGCTAACATACACTTGCTGCACGTCGCATAAAACGTAAAAAAATGTAAATATGTGGGAGTAAGAGAAGAGCAGACATATGGATAAATCTGACGACGCAAGAGAGAACTCAGTTCGGTCCGGTTTTCTGAGCGCAGACACTGAAGCATAACGTTACACACACAGAAAGCGCCTCTCACAGGGCGCGAGTACTCTTTCTCGTCGCATGAATGGAGAATTACACACAAAATGATGTCGAATTGTCCGTTTTGACGAGTATTCACGTAAACACAGTTGATTACGTCTTAAGTGAACGTAAACAGTAGGGAGAACGTGTATCAGTGCATTGCATCCATTGCAGCTGTGCATTCGGTTTTAAAGGGACAGCAGCCTAATTTAGTTGCTATTGTCCGAGTCATTGATGTTAATCAAGCAACAACAGAAAGACAGAAAATCACGCACTGCTCTTGACTGAACAACTTTAGTAGCCCTAAAGATTCATCTAAATTTATTTACAGAAATAAATATGTCTGCTTGAAAGAATGAAGAATATGGTAAACAAGTTGCTATAAAGAATGCATAATTAGCCGATATAACCATTGGTATTTCATTAAAAAGAAGACCATGTTCTTGTTCTTTATGAGAAGTGGTTTTATTTAATTTTAACATAAAGGCATGTTGTGTGTCACCGCAGTTAAATCGGTGTCTATCATGATAAAACCTTAATATCAAACCTATATAATGAGTTTGGAAATTTTAGAGAAATGCTTAATAAATGCACTGTAACTAAACCCATTAGATTTTATCCGACTAAATTTACTGTAGATTTAGTTGACTAAAACCTTATGATATTTAGTCGACTAAAACTAGACTAAAACTAAAAGTCAAAAGACTATGACTAAAACTAAATCACAATTTGCTGTCACGATTAACACTGGTTCTCAGCATGTCTTGAACATTAAGGGACCATTTTCTTTGGGTCTGTTTAAAAGACCCCAGTGGTAATGGTCTTTTTATTTAAAGGAATTAAATGGGTTTAAATGGATCTAAGGGAATAAAGAAAACATTGAACGAACAAGAATATGAAGAATAAGTTTTTGCAAATAATATTGTTTAAATATGCACTCTTTGTCTTGTTTGGATGCCTAATATGCTGCAAACAAAAAATGCCTTCTTGTCACATTCAGTTATAAATTACACGAATCGTGTAAGTGACAGCCTGTATTTTCAATTCAGAACAGCAACATTTAACAAAAAAAGATGAGTAGTTTGTATCACTGAGTGAACACAGTGAAACATGTTTATGAAAGTTTAGTTTGGCTTTTATTTGTAACGTTCATCTTTATGGAGTTTGAGATGCTGAATATGAAAATCACACGACTTTTTGTGTATCATTAACGGCTCATGAAAACTAAAGAATATGCTGAGAACTCATACAAGCTCATCTGTTATTACTGTAACATTATTAAAATGACACAGTCATGCATAACACTGAGCTAACAACAACCGTTTGACGTAAACAGTTATCAAAAGAGACCATGACGGACACTTCATTTGTCCGTTTATGATTTGTATCTTTTATGACTGGAATCTGCTAGAAAGCTGTAGAATATTACAGAAACTTCTAGAATGTTCCTCGCGAAATAAAAAAAAAAAAAAAAAAAAAAATGAAAAATTTGTACAAAACTTCTCCGTGCTAAATCAATGTTTTATAATTAATGATAGAAGTTTTGAAATTTACCAGACCTGAATATTGATGCTACGTGAAAATAAACGGCACAATAATAATTAGCACCGTTAGCCTCTCGCACGCTTTCACTGTTAAATGCTGGAATTTAATATGACAGAACGCTCAGTTTCTGCGAACAGCAAATGCTGATAAGTGCAGTTTAGCCGTTTGTAATAAACCTGTCCCCTCAGTTTCTGTGGTGGTTACAGTCTTGACTAGACCAGCACCAAACCAGCATAAAGCACCTGGACCGTCACGCTCCTGCTGCTCTCAGCTGTGTTTCTCAGCAGGCGTGGGCTCGCTGGAGCTCGTGTGAGATCAGTGGGAGCTTGTGGTTGTCTCTGAATGTCAGAGTGAAATGTGCTGTGGTTTTTGCAGGGCGATAAGCTCGAGCGGCGGGTGAGTATTTGAGCGTGGATGGTTTCATGTGATGGTGTGGCTTGGCCTTGTTTTGGTTCAG